CATAAATAAAATTTTAGAAGATATAATTTGATTCAAGACGATTTATGGAATATTTAAACAGTCATACCTGTGGAAGCGTTACGAGGTTTTCCTTCTTCTACTCGCAATTTTCCTTGTTCTGGCACCTTTGTCTATTTAATAATAAAATATATTTAATAAACTTCAAAAAAATAAATAAAATAAATTACATGTAAAAACCGACAGATAAAGGTCGTTTACCTCGCCATGAAGTTTCAAAGCTTTTTTCATTGCGACTTCATTTTTCAAATCCACATGTGCAAATTGTTTGTTTGGTAAATATCGAATATCTTCGACCTAAATAAATATATATATATGTATAAAATTGAAAATATTAATAAAGTTATATATATATAATTTATAAACCAAAGAGATTTATTTATAAATACAAACCTCATCATTATCAAATAAAGCCTTTAACCCATCCTGAGTCATTGAACCAGTCCATGCAACAAACACGGTGTGTTTCGAAGTGGGCGAGAGTTTATCAGGCTTACCCTAGAAAAATAAAAACTTAGTGAGGGGAAAATAATAATAATAATGATGATTTTATAGGAATAAGTGGAGGTTAGCGAATGACTTACCTTTTTATTATTTTTATTGTTATTGTTATTGTTATTAGTGATGATATTATTAGGGTTACTAAGGTTATTATTGTAGGGGTGACTATTATTATTGCCGATGAAACGTCGATGCTGCTGCTGATTAGGTATAATGTAAGAAGCGGTTTTTCCATCAGGGATAGTAGGTGGAAAGAATTGATTCTGATTTTTGGTCGCTTCATTGATAAGTTCACCATCATCAGATGGCCTATTTTGAGCAAGCTATATATATAAATAAGAAAAAAAATAAAATAAATAAGTATATATTTAAAGGAATAAAATACATAAATAATGAGCACATACACCGAATTGATCGACGTTGACTGGATCGATAATGTTCATATGAGGTGGTGTAACATGATTGATAGCGTTATTATTAGTATTCTTTGACCCATCATCTATATCGATCAAAGAGGTTGCTATTACGCAATATGAAAAGAGGAAAATGATAAGAGAAAGTATATAAAATAAATAGAATAAATAAAAT